ACCCCAGAGATCTTGCTCTGAAACACGCCAGAAAGAGTCCACAAGAGCGATATGGGGGTGACCCTTAATCCAAAATTCCTTCCTTCGTTGGCCTCGATTCAACGTCTCTCTCTCTCTCTCTCTCTCTCTCCCCACCCCAACCCAACAGGGATTCCTCGACTCAGCCCACATTCCAACACTCCTCACGTCCCACTTTTAAGCTTACTTTTAAAAGAGTCATCACGTCAGTGTCTGCCGCTTGAGGGTCCATTTCTCACAGCGTTATTTGTGACTTAACCTTTAGGTGTCAGCCGGACCCCAGTTGGTAGCTCTCCTGTCTCCAAATCACAAGGCTGTGATTTCAAGACCCAAGCCAGGACTTTGAGCTCATCATCTAAGCTAACAATCCAATGCAGTGCTGGGGGGCTGCTGTGTTTTTGGAGGTGCCATATTTTGCACAACATGTTAAACCGAGGTTCTGTCTGCCTGCCCGGGTGAACCTTAAAGATTTATAATCCATGCTTGCAAATAGTGATACACATATGTAACGCATGAAATCTAACAGATCAGTGTTGCTCAATAAGGGTTATAATAAATAATAATAACCGTTCCATTTGACATAGCGCCTTATCATGTCTTCTAGATGTCTCAAAGCGCTTCACGGAATACACTGTAAAGTGAATTGACTGTATATTTTGTGGACGAAACTCGGCAGCCAATTGCGCACAGCAGCGTTCCCACAAACAGTCGTGGATTCAAGTGACCAATTTTATTATTGGTTTGTTTTGAGGGATTATGATCAGACGCGTGTGTGGAGTAGGAAACTTGCCCAAGGTTTTTGCCACCTGCCGGGAATCGAACCTAGGTCCTTTCGCTTGCGAGGCGAGTCCTCTAACCACTGAACTGCAGGACTCCGCTAGGTTTATTGAGACATTTTGTCGTCCCTTTTGTTGAGGCTGCACATCAAAATAGTTTGTTCAGATTGCCTCTGGACGGATATTATAGCTTAGAAGTTAACCTCGGTTCCAGATTTCAATGCTGGTGAACCCACAGACTTTTCGAAGCATCGTTTGAGTAGATTTCATTCACATCCTGAAATCTCGTTCACCTTATTTTCTCTCCTGGTCAGTTTTCTGGGAGCCATTCGTGTTCACTTTTTTTTGTTAACCTGCTCCCGGGACATCCTACGGATGAGACGTTAAGCCAGGGTCCCGCCTGCCTGTTCAGATGGATGTTAAAGATCCCATGGGGCTATTCGAAGAGAGAAGGGGGGAGTTGTCTCCCTCCCAGTGTCCTGGTCTACAATCCATCCCAATAAAGTTGGTCACTCACTCCATGGCTGTTTGTGAGACATTACTGTGCGCAATTGGCTGCCACGCTGCCCCCACCAAAAGACACAAGGTTAGGGGCAGACACCAGGAAAGCATTGCTTTACTTTGGAGGCTGATCAACAGCTGGAAGGAGTTACCGGGAAAGGGGTGGTTGAGACACCAGGAAACTGGACTCGTACAAGAAACAGCTCCCAATGGGAGTCTTAAAGCATTTGTTTTGGGATCAAATTAAATGGGCAGAAGAGGCTGCATCTAAACTGCTCCTGTGATCTCGTCAATTCTATGCATTGTATTCCAATCGCTGTTGAGATGCCCGACCCCTTTCCCTCCCTCTCTCTCTTCCTAACACTTAACCCTTTTCTTTTGCTCTTTTCCTTCCCCACCCTCTCCCCACCCCTCCATAAAAGTGCACACAGAGTGAGGTGAATCTCCTCCACAGCACATAAACTCGATGCTGTGGCCACAAGGAAAAGCCACAAATCCAAACCAAACCCACTAGCGAGTCACCTTAAAGTCAGCTCAGATCTGGCTTTAAGTTGCTTACCTGCTTACCTCCAACCTCCCTTCCCTTCTCCTCCGCACCCCTGGAGAGGTGGGCCAGTCACGGGTTAGCCATTAAGTTGTTAATGTAAAGCGTGTGCACACAAAAAAAATTGTTCTCTTTGCCCAACCTGCACGAAGTGGAAGTCAAATAATTCAGATTAAACCATGTCCGGCTGTTTAGTCTAACTGCAAAACTTGGAAGTGGAATTGTAAACGTTTTTTTTTGTTGTTGCCTGAATGACGTTCACGCAACAACAAGGGTGCGTTCAGGGATTTTAAATGCCGTGTCAGAAAGCCTCCAATTTAAAGGGCCTGCCGGCATGAAACGTGTCCAGCCGCAACAATTGAGTTCCAGTCCTGGGTTTCACGGGAGTCGGGACAGGGTTCCCTTAGACACGAATCCCATTAAAATAAATTACCGTGAATTAGACCCACTGTTTGCACGTGATAATAATTACCCCAACTTACACCGGCCTCCCTCTAAACGTATTCACTTCACGGCTGTTTGTGGGGGATGTCACTGTGCGCAAATTGGCTGCCGCATCCACCGAAAAAACACACAGACACTGGACCACAGTGACTCCCGTGAAGTGCTTTGAGACATCCTCATGACTTGTGTCAAACGCAAGGATTATTTAAACAACCAACAACTGCTATAAAAGGATGAAATGTTTGCCCAAAAGTGCTTTGACCACACTATCCCAACGCCTCTCTAAGAACAGCCAAAAAAAATGCTAAGTGTCTATTTGATTGAATAACTATTCTGAGCACTTAATTTCCAAAGCCTTGCACTTCAATGAGTCTAATTGTGGACCAATTTCAAACCGTAGTAAGCCCTGTTTGCCCAAGGCATTAAGCAATGTTTGTGTTCATTGAGTGTGGATTTCGAGGAAGATACATCTGGCTGGAGTCATTCAATTGAATCCCACATATTGAATGAGAGCAAATAATGAGAGACAGAGAGAAGCTGGAAAACAGGGAACGTAGAGAGAGAGAGAGAGAGAGACAGCAGCAAAAATAGACTTGGAACGGAGGATGTTTGAAAGAGAAAGATAAGGAAAAACAGGGGAGAAGGGGAAAGGACTGGGAAATGTCTGGTGGGGAGAGCAGAGGGAAGAAATACAATGGGAAAATTGAACCACATGTTCATCTTATTATTCAATTTGAGGCTTATCTTCGCAACCTGACGTGGACTGTGTGTTTAAACAAGAAAACGGAATGATAAACGACTTTCTATGTTGGCGATGTGCTCCCGTGGAAAGCTCTGCTTTTTTGCAGCCTGTGGAGTGACGACTTTTGCTCGTACCTTTTCCTAGAAATGACAGGAATGGGTTATTGCTCCGTTTATATTCCGGGGGCCTTGTTTAATGTCGACGAGCTGTTTGGCTCCTTCGTATGAAGACGTCTGTCTGTCGAAAAATTAACAGGCCGTCCAAAGGACACCTTTGGAGAGTTCTAACAGGTTCGAAGCGTGCTGCTTGGTGCCATTGGTCGCACCGTTCTGCAAAGCTCCCCCCGTGTTTGTGCTGAAAAAGTGTAACTGTGTCCCTTGTCAATTTGGACTGCGTCAGCCTGGCTCAGTGGTAGGACCCTCGCTTCCGAGTCAGAAGGTTGTGGGTTCAAGCCCCACGTTCGGGACTTGCAACCACTTTAGTCTAAGCTCCAGCACCAGCGGTGCTGGTGTGTGGCATTGTCTGTCGGACGAGACGTTAAACCGAGGCGCCTGCTGCCCGTTCAGGTGGACGCTAAAGATCCCGTGGCGCTATTTGAAAAGAGAAGGGGCTTTTTCTCTCTCTCTCGCGCTCTCTCTCTCTCCCCCCTCCACCACCGATGTCCTGGCTAACAATCCCCCAGATAAAATGGTTCACTTACCCCGTTGGCTGTTTGTCGGGATGTCGCTGTGCTCAACTGCCCGCTACATTTCGCCCACAAAATACACAGCCAATTCGCTTACCGGTTTGTCCTTTAAAGCACTTTGAGACGTCCCAATGGTGCTACGGCGAATGCGAGGATAATTATTGTTATTTCTACCCCATAAAAATGCTCAGGTTCCTGCATTGCCGTCGTTCCCACTCACGGCTACCCAGGCACTGAACCTGGAGTGTCCGTGTCTGAGGGCCGACGACGTCAGTCAGGCCTCAGTATTGTGGCAAGTGCACTTCATTTGCAGTTCAGCTCCTCAAAAAATGCGACGTGCGTGCGGGAATGAATTCGTGAGTTTTCCCCCCGTGGTTAAGTTCTGTCATATTTATACACAATGCTTCAGTTACGCAGGGAAACAAAACAATCCCTCATGTAAAAATGTCATTTCTCACCGGCCCACACATGGCAGCTGTTTTAATAGAACCCTTTCTGTCAGCGAGTGTCTTGTCTATCTGTCTGTCTGTCTGTCTGTCTGTCTCTCTGGTTTTCTTTGTAAATGTCATTTCTCCCCACCCCTTGTTTCTCCAGATTTGCTGTCTTATCAGAGACTCTCTGTCCCCAAAGGTACTTGAGATCTGTCAGGGGGGATTTATTTCAACCCGGTAACTTTCTAATTGCGTGTCTGACTCTCTCTAACCGGGCAGCAAAGCTTATTCCATGGAACACACTCGTGGTCAGAGATGAAGCTTAAGGTCCAGGCTGACTCTCCAGTGCGGTGCTGGGGGAGTGTTGCATTGGCGGAGCTGCCGTCTTTCAGACACTGCCCCTGAGACACCAAAACCAAGGCTCAGATTTACAAAATAACTATAATGATAATAATCCTTGCATTTGATACGGCGCCTTATTGCTTCGTCGGCACGTCTCAAAGCGCTTCACAGGATATATTGTAAAGTGGATTGACTGTAGATTTTGTGGGCGAAAGGCACGGCAGCGTCCCCACAAACAACCGGAGATTGAAGTGACCGATTTATTTTATATATCGACTAACGACCAGGCTCCTACTGACTGCTAGCAGAACAGAGGCTTGCGGAGTAAGGAAACTTGCCTAAGCTTTTAAACTGGGGGATTGTTTTGAGTACGAGAGATCCAAGGATAGAGTAGAAATATGCTGTTTCCATTTAATTTCCTCTCTCTCTCTCTCTTTATCTTTCTCTTTCTTTCTCTCTCTTTTCACTTTCTCTCTCTCTCTCTCTCTCTCTCTCTCACTCTTTATGCTTCCTTCAGAAAAGCTCACCTGATTCTAAAACGCCTGGACGATGTGAGCCACCGCTGCTCAGCCTTGCTTCAGAGCGTGTACATTCAGGGCCACATAGACTCGGTGACTTATTTCGTCTGTCGAATGGAAGGAAGCAGACCCTCAGGGATGGTCTGGTACAGCACTTTGCACGACGCAAAGGTGACCTGCGACGAAAAACTAATGGCAGTGTCGCGCAATATCTACGGAGACACCAAACTCCGGTGAGGTACCTCGCCGGCTACGAACACCCCAAACGTCCGTTTTATATTATTTTTTTTTTCCGAAAACGTCCAATATGGGGAAGAGGAAGAAGCGGAAGAGGAAGAGGAGGAGGAGGAGGAGAAAAAAAATGGAGCAAAGCAAAAAAAAAATCTCTCTCTCGCTACATATAAATATATATATTAGAACCTTTGTGTCGCCGGTTGCGAGGTGACAACCGGCCGGACTGCACACGTCCAGCGGGGAAACGAAAAGCTTTTTGGAGCTTTGGTGCTCGCATCCGTGATCGAAGCAACGGGAAAGGGAACTGGAACCCGAGCGTTCACCACGACCAACTAAACGCTGAACTGTAGCGGATGCTTTAACGTTAAAGCAGCATGTGATTGAGTGAAACCCACCCCCCCCACCACACCTTACCCCACCCACCCCCACACCCCCACCACCCCGAAAAAACAAAAAAACCTACTACTCAACCGACCAACCGACCGTCCGTCAGACATGGCGGGGTCAACCACAGCCTGTTGCAGTACTTTTCCCATTTTATAAACTTTAGAAGCGCCCCCCCCCCCCCCCCCCCCCCCCCTCAAAACGGCTTTGTCGCGTGGCTGACTTGATCACAGGGCTGGTTGGCGAAGGCAGAATTTTAAGGGAATTGGTCAGTTTAGTGCAGAAATTGGGAAGATTGATGTGCGATCGATGTGTAATTGATTGATTGATTTATTTTTTAGTGTTTTTGATTTGATTTATCGTGTTGGATTTACAGCAACAATAACAACTTGCATTCATGTTGCGTCCCTCACCAGTGTAGCGTCGCTTGAGCGATTTATTCAAGGAAAGCAAAATTTCAACGAATCCCAGCTTGTAAATCTTAAAAGCGTTTTCCAGCAACCTACTACCTTTCGGGAGGGATGAATTAGGAGCTTGACTGGAAACAAAACGCAGGCCACATTAACGTCCGCTGTTGCCTGATGAGAGGACGTGAGTGTTCAGTGAATCCAATGAGTTAGTGACAAAAAAAAAGGCTGTATTCCCCCTCTGACCCCGACCAGTCTAAGAGCGTAAGTGACTTAAGTCGAATTACAAGACGACAAACTGTGGATATCGTAAAACAAATATTAGCTTCTGTTTTCTGGCAAAGGTTGTGAAACAAGCCATCGCTGGCTTCAGACAATTTAATTCAAAGCTTTAACCTACTGGGTAGTGTTTTTGGTATGGTTGCCTTTTAACAATTCACTAACAAATGGGTGGGGGGTTGGGGGTCAGGGGACACAGAAGGGTTTGAGTTACGAGATAGTTCTTGTGTATTATTCTCTGTTTTTACCATTAAATACGAAATAAAATGTATATTTAAACACGCCTTCCATTAATAGTCTGCAAAGTGCATTAAGCAACCTCGAAGGGATTTTTTGATCTTTTCCTCAGTGTTGCCAACTTCACCATAGAAGCCATTAATTCATCCATTAAATAAACAATCCTGGTTTTGGAACAGAATCTAATGAGTATTTTTTTCCCCTTAATAAAACGCGTACATCCAGGAGAAAAGCCTTGGACTAATAAGCCTGTAACCTGGATCAAGAACGTTTCAGAAAGGATCGGAATTGATGCTTTAGTATGTGATATTCCATGTGTTTTTTTTAAAGTTGGGATAATAAGAAGATTGTGTTTAAAAAAAGGTTCATCAACATAATCGAGAGACGTGATGATTGAATAAAAACCTATTGCAGTGGAGTGTGACTGATGGGCCGTGTGGGTATGATAATCATAATAATCCTGGCATTTGATACAGTGAACTACCAGTGAGAACATTTGCTTTGCGGGTTCACGGGGAGCACAAAAGATGCCTTAGTTTTCGACCCCTCCCTCAAGAGGTAACTGTCGAGCCCCTCCCGTGAGCTTCCCGAAGAACAGGGTTTGCGTTCGACAGTTAAGGCAGAGAGAGTCATCTTTCAACATCCAGGATCTCTTAACTCCCATCTAATTTTAATTTGAGTGTTATAAACGTTTGTTTAATGGGATGTTACATAACCACCCACCTTGGCCCTTGCCCAAAAACACGAATGGTTTGAATTTAGCAGATGATAGTCGGGGGGGCTCCCAGTGGAAAACGACTTGAAAGGTAGGTGCTGCAAACGTCCCCTTTGAGCTAAAAACAAGATTTACAGACTAATTTCATGGAAAGTACAAGCTGTTTCTGTGAAACATGAAAGTGGTTCTTTTTTTTAATAACAAAAAAAAGTGAAGCAAAGCCCAATAAATTGCTTTTAATATGCTTTTCGATTTTCTTTTTTTTTTTGAACAGTGGGTTTCTATCGGGATGTGTGTGTGTGTGTGTGTGTGTGTGTGTGTGTATCGTGCAGAACAAAAATAATACCAATAATAATTTGCTCACTTCAATCCACAACTGTTTGTGGGTCCCTGCTGTGCGCATTTGTCTGCCGCATTTCGCCCACAAAATACACACAGTCCATGCAATTGACAGTATATTCTTGTGAAGCGCTTTGAGACGTCATAAAGACGTGCTTTGCTCGTACCCTTTCGGAAATGCTTGATATGATTTGAAGAGCGAGTACCCCTATTTCCCAGTAGATTAGTGACCAGCGCAGAGACAGTGTCCTTCAGAGGCTGAACGGTCGAGCTCAGCTCCAAGGGTTCGCAATATCAAGGTGTGTGAGCAGAAGCCGAAAGAAAAGCCAGCCAAAAAAATCTAACCAGATTAAATATTTGGATCGAGAATAACTGCGCGAGTCGAGCTAACTTTGAAGCAATGGTGTGTGCCTGAGATGATGGCCAAAACCACATGATGCACTTAAGAACAATTTGTGCTACTGACTTATAGGAATAAAACGTGTCATTGTGCGCTAACATATAACAGCTCTAGAAACACAAAAAGTTAACGTGACCTGTCTGGAATGAGATCCTCTCTTTAAATGATTTCCTGTTGTCAAGCATGGATTGAAGTGCACATTCTGTGGCCGGGGAATGGTCGTGTTCGACTCGCGAAAATGATGGGAACGTTCCTTTGCTCTCGGTACCTATCGTAGAATCGTACAGCACCGAAGGAGGCCATTCGGCCCATCTTTGAAACGAGAACCTTGCCACCTTTTGCACAGCGAGGGATCTCCCACAGTCCCTCGTAACACTCACTGCAAAATGTAGTAATTGCTTATTTTTGCCTTGTGTATTGGCAAGGACCGCAGCCAATTTGTGCACTGCCAATGTCCCCAGAACAGCTGTGAAGTGAATGACCTGTTTTATCTCGGAGAATTGTTGGCCAGGACACTGGAGAGAAATTCCCTTCTCCTTTCAAATAGCCTCAACGTGGTCTGCAGCCCCTTTGGGATGATCTCCCGACGTGAAAGGCGCTATACAAAGGTAATTTTGCTGTTGTTGTTGTTGGAAGGTCCACCTGAACAGACAAGTCGGGACCTCGGTTTAATGTCGCCCGCAGGATGCAGCCCAGTCCTATAATGCTATTGGAAAAGAGAATTTCTCCTTAGTGTCCTGGCCAACAGCCCCCACAGTGAAACGTGTCAGCTGCGGGGCACTGATGTGTGGAAATTGACTGCCGCATTTGCCGCCAAACTAGCGCTTTGAGAAGTCAGGTTCGGGCGCTTTATCGGTTATAATCATTAGCTTCAAAGCAGGCGGAGACAGTTCGATGCTATCAGAGAATGCAAGGATTATTATTGCGAGCCTTGGATAAGAATAACGAACGTCTGATGGATTGAAACCGATTGAGATGAAACTGAGCAATGTTTTGTCGCCAAAGTGTCCTCTGTGAGGCTGAGAGCTTCCTTCAACAACAATCTGCTGTGATGGACGGACGGGATCAGTTTTACGAACAGGCGCGCCTGGGCAGGAGACAATCTCGCGTCACGAAACACTTCAGATTTTATTTCTGTCGCGCAAAACAAAGGGGGATGAGAAAGGAAAAATAAAAAGCAACCACACCTTGACTTTCCTTCATTTAGCCAGTGTTTATTTCTAACCAATACATAACAGGGAGGAGACATTATTTATCCATAAGAAATAATTATTTCCAGAGAAACAAATATACAGTACACCAGACAGATGTTTGTTGTGTGAAGTCAGAGCACCAACATAATATACGCAGCTGTAAAAACAAGAGAGTGTGGTCAGTGCCCAACACACAGTGCATCATGAGGATGAGTTCGTGAAGTGGGTTCCACTTATTTTTTTCACCAGTGCTTTCTGAACACAATAACGGTATTATTAAAGTATAGTTTGAATGCGGGTCAACTTTGATCCATCGTAAAACAGTTAACACTTGTTCTAACCACCCATTGTACCTGAAGCAGCTCCACGGGTTTTCAATGCTTCTCACTTTACCCTGACAACATGCCACCTCGGTTGATGCAGGATTTAAAGCAGCAGCTATTTCTCTTTTTGTTGGGGTGGGAGGGGGTTTCCGTCAGGGACAGTGACTTGAGTACAACAGATCGAATGAATGGAAGAAAAGGGTAAAATAACAGGTTGATTTTGTTTTGTTTTTTTCCCCAAAATACTCATTGCGGAACACGAAAAAAGGTTATAATTTGCCATTACTGCGCGTTGCTGTGCGAGGGAACCGAGAATATGTCAAGGAAATTGGACACAACCACAAGATGCTCATTACAGCTCATGGCACCTGCACGCAGACGTAATGGGACGTGTGATATGCTCGAAGAACTCTCTCTCACTCTCTCCTTCTGACCTATAGCACTTGGCTTTTTATTCTCATGACAATTGGCTGGAAGACAAGCGTCACTTTGGAAGCTGTTTTGGTTTGAACCCTGGGATTTAGAATCGGTAACGGCCGGAGACTGTAAAAGTCGGTCCCGGACAACTCGATTTAGTTTCGGATGCCACAGACCAAGAAGCTGGCAGAGTCGCCAGTCGATTATTGACGGTTTAATCACGTGCCGTTCAGAAGCCGTGTCTTACTTAAGGCTGGAAAAGCAGACTCATAATGATAATAATAATTATAGTATAACAACCCTTGCAATTGATATGGGGCCTTATCTGGTCTTCAACACGTCTCAAATAAACTGCCATTTATGCAACGTGTTGGGGAGAACTAACCAGAAAAGTCCTCAAACAGTTGAAACCTTGTTCGGGCGAACTGAAATACCTTTATTGCTCTTATCACTCACCCCTTCAAGTTTTCTGAATCACTTTTCTCCGGACGTTGCTACTGCCCCAATGGCTAATTAATCCGGGTTCACTGACAGGACGTGGAAGTTTTAACAAAAAGCCGTGAAACGCACAACAATGGCAAATTATACGTATATTTATCACCGGGGATGCATTAGGTTCAGTATGCGGGTTCGATGTTCTGTACTTCGAGAAAAAAAAATGAGGCATCCACATGAGGAGAATGTGTGGGGGTTTTTTTTTTACATTGCAAGCGTTTCGTAATCGTATCATACCATCGGGTAATAAAAACTGACTGCAGCAACGGAATTGTAAAGTTGTAAAAAATAATTTAGATGATAAAAGTGTAAATATAAATTAAAAAAATGACATTCTTAATAAATAATTCTACTATTTACAATCTGTATATATTGCTAGGAGACTTAAATTAGACTATAGACTAAAAGCAGCTAGTTTACAGGCTTGAGGTACAGCAAAAAATATGATATACAGTAGACCGTTACATTATAATTTTTTTTCAGCACTTCATTTGATTATTTGTATCATGAATTTTTTTTTCGATAAGGTGCCCAACAGATAACTAGAATGGACTAATAAATACCAGGGTATTTTTTTTTTGTTATTTTTTTTTCAAAATGGCCATTAATGAACCATATGAAAACATTTCCTTTTGAAAGAAATCACAGCTTGACTTGTACTATGTAGACAGGTAAAATGCTCGATTTAGAGATCGCCCCCCAAAAAAAAGAAAGCACTTCTGTGTGCCTTTTTTTTAAAAAAAAACAACTATGGCATAATGCAGATATTAGGGGGAAATCCCTAAAATTGGTATAATGTCCATTCATCTTTGTTTATTGCGAGGCAGAATGCTTTTAAATATACAGTTGTGGTCGCTTTACTTGAGAGAAAGACTGCAATCTTTACCAACAATTAAACTCATCCTCTTTCTCTCCCCTCCTTCGCCCCCTTTGTGACTCGATAAATGATCAGTATTTGGCATTTTCGACTGATTGCATTTCCCTCTCTCTTAGCGAAACTTTTTTTTAATCGTTTAAAATCCGAAGCAGCAATATTTCTGTATGCCGTTTAAATAACAAACAAAAAAAAAGAAAAAAAAAACACGTATAGGTTAACTATCAAGTTAATATGACTTGTAGGTTACATAAAACAACATCAAAAAATGTGATTAATTAGCAAAAAAGCCAAGAGGTTTGCCCAACGATCGTTAAATCAGAATATAAAGTTGATGGCTTCTGTTGTGTGAAAGTTAAACGTAACTTTTTGCTCGAATAATAATAATCCTCGCATTTGATACAGCGCCTTATCACATCATTGAGACATCTCAAAGCGCTTTACAAGATATACTGTAAAGTGAACTGACTGTATTTTGTGGGTGAAATGCGGCAGCCAATTGCGCACAGAGTGTCCCACAAGCAGTCGTGGATTGAGCGGCCAAATTATTATTTTTTTAATGTAAATTGCTTTCACGTTGTGTCTAAATTGTTATCCCTTTTCTTACTTTTAACGGTTGCAATCACAGCTAAACTAATTACTCTTTTTTTAAATGGTTCCATATTACAAGTGCAAAGCTCTGGGAAATGAGACAAACTAAAAATATAGATATATATATATATGGAAAGACTGAAATCGAATGGGACAAAATTAAAAAAAATGACCAAAAAATAATACCAAACGATAGAAAATACCTGTCTGATCTTAGCAGCTTTTTTTGTCCAAAAAAAAACATAAATGTAGACTTTTTTTTTGTAAATGGCCATACAGTTGTTCCAAATGCAGTTACTGAGCAGGATAAAATACTGATTAAATACAATTAAGTAAAGTTTATAACAAAAGTACAAATAAACACTTTAAAACACTTAAACAATTAAATGTCAAAATGTCACTTCTTTTTTTTCCTCTCTTTTTTTTCTGGAGCTAACACTATGCACAAAAACTGACCAGGCAAATACGACATGACTGTACACCAAAATCCTATGGAAAACTATGTCTTTTTTTTTTCATTTTGAGTTTCTTTTCCGTCTTCTACTAAACCTAAGGTGTGGTAGTTTTATATCGGTCCATGCGGTTTGCACAACCTCGTCCGTCGTGAGTTTGCAGCATGAATTTTCTTTCTTTTTTTTCTTATTATTTATTTAAAAATAACACAGGTAAAACCTATAAGAACCGACAGTTATAACCAGGCAAAAATGGAGAAGGGAGGTAGCTGGAACCCATTTTAAAATCCCTTTGAAATTGGCATGTTTTTTGACGTATACTTTTCCCATCTTTTCACACACCTCGACCACCAGCCAAAAGTAATTTGCCGCTGCAGCCTTCCTGTCCATCGTTCGGATAAACCGACCCTGACTGCCTCAGCGTTTTTTTTTTGTTGTTTGATGTTATTTCCAAAGTCTGGAATGTTGATCTAAATTGGGCGGGAGCCGGTCACGGAAACAAACACTTTGCTGTGGAAGTGGAGACCGTTGCTTCGGTGATCCCCGCCGATATTACAAGCCCTCTTCGGCTCGCTATTCACGCTGAGGTCACACGGAGCAAACGGTTGACGTGGGAATAATGGCCGATGCTTTGGGCTCTCCGAAGTAGGGCTTCGGGACAGAATTGGCAACTATCGATCTCAGTTATCGGCCGCAGGCATCTTACACCATGTGGTGTCATTGCCACCCACCCTCCCACCTCTCATAAACCATCAGCACGGTCTCCGCATCAAGTCCATGGCTTCGTTGACAATAGACGTGGCAGTATAAACATGTAAAGGACGCTCTCTGCCCTGACAGTCGGTCTCCTTGTGACGATGTGCCCATCCTCGCATCGTTAGCTTCCCCTCTGCATTATACTCTTACTATCCCCAGCGTCTGAGGCTTGTTCACATTTAATAATAAGACGTAACATTTCCGTTTCATTGGCTTCGTACGTTAACCTCCCATCCCAGGTTCAGGTTTTATCCCTTCAGCAAAACATCTAAATACGGTTCACTTGTGGAGTTCCACACACCTTCACCGAGAGACCGACTTTGCTGTTGGAAACCCGCTGACCCAACCAAAAAAAAACGCTTGACAGGCTGGTCGGCCGTGAAAGATGGACACGGAGAAGGACAAGAAGCTGTCGGGATGTCCCTCCAAACAGGACTTGGTTAAACCCGCGGCAAAATACTTTTGGCTGCATTGTTTTTCGAAGAAAATCCGGAGATGAAATCAAAGGGCTTTAAAACGAGGTTATAAAGGTTTTGCTTAAGGCAGATAGACTGACATTGGGTTTGGTGTTGACCTGTCCTTGTATTGGTCGTCTGGCAATAGCAGCAGCAGCTATGGTAACACAGCTGTTTCCTTTCGGAATTTTGCAATATTTTAATATATTTATTATTCTTAATCCTCTGGACAATCATCTTTACTGTGATATCTGAACTGTTTGTTTTCCCTGTCTCTAAACACGTTCTGCTGTAATTTGGACCTTGGGGGGGTTATATATTTTTTTCGACCGACTTTGAATCTATTTCTTACTCTCTCTCTCTCTCTCTTTCTTTCTCTCTCTCACTCTCTTTTATCCTCCTTCAAATATAGATAGTGCAGCCAGGAAAGGCCACTCGAGCAAGTATGAAACTGTGAGAAACATGCTATTTTCTTTTTCGGGGGTCGAGGGGAGGGGAGGGAGGCTTGTTCGTTTCATTCAATGTGTCGTTTGTGTCTGTTTTGTTAGGTTTTTTTTTCCCTCTTTCACTCCAGCTTTCAGACAAAAAGCAGATTAGCAGAATATTTTGTGTGTGTGTGTGTGTGTGTGTGATTATTATTCGACCGGAGAGATTCTCCCAGAAGCAGCAAGGAATGAGTGGCTCTTCCAGTCTGCCTTCAGCTGTGTGTGTGTGTGTGTGTGTGATTTTGTTACGCTCTCAGTGTCCCCTCCTTCGCTCCCCCCTCTCCCCCTCCCCCCGCCCGCTAATGGTGACTGTAACGGAAACGCTGTCGTTTCCCCTTGACGTTCTCTTGGGCCACTGGGTCTCGGCAAGCGCAGTCACCATTCAGCTCGCAGGACATGGGGAACGGCACCACCTGGAAGGCAAAGGGAGATCCGCTGAATGATAACCACAATAATAATAACAGTAATAACCATCGCATTTGATGTAGAGCCTCATCACGTCCTCGAGACGTTTCAAGGCCCTTCACGGATTATACAGCCAAGCGAACCGACTGGATAGCTTGTGGGCGAAACGCGGAAGCCAATTGCGCATCGCGGCGTCCCACCAACAGGTGGGTTAAAACCCAACGGTTTAAAGGTTTCTCCAACGTGACGCAAAGCGCGGAAAGCGAGCCCGTCAGCGTCGCCTGACCCCCTCCGAGCCATTTACTCAGCTCCACGTCCTGGAGATACAGACAGCACTGTGTGGACTCGCGAATACGGGGGGAGAGAACCTAACAGGAATTTTTGCTCAGCCAAAGAATTCCCAAGGTCCGCCTCGTTCGCTTCCACCACGGCTGATTTCGACGATTCTGGCTGCTCTGAAATGCAACACAGAGTAAACCTCAGCCAACTCGATCTCCCCCAATAATGTAAGATAGTTGTTGCTGGGACCTGCATTTTTTTAAAAAAGCGAGTCCAGTGTTCGTGCCTGGACCCTATACCAATCATTAATTACCCTCTGGGTGATTTAAACTCCCTCTCCTTCCTCCCACAACCCCCCCCCCCCCCCCAACAACTCAACCAGTGCCTATCCTGAAATAGCCCTGTGCAACCCAGAACACCTCTTGTCCTGCCATCGCGTGTACTACATGCGAGACAGATCGTGTTACGTTCACTCTGTTGGGAAGTAGACGATGGCTTGAAAAACAAAATAAATACAGTAAGACCGAGCCTCTGTGATTGCAACATTTTCTACAGCAAAGCAGCGCAGTGTAATTGCAATAACTGTACGTTGCGTGCCAAGACGATTGCTTGGAAGGAGATACAAAGGAAAACGCCGAATGCTGGCAATCTGATATAAAAACAAGAGTATGCTGCAAATGTCTGGCGTGTCTCTCTCTTTCACAACTGAAAGGTTTGCGTATGACCCTGCTGTTAAGTTTTCCTGGCTTTCCTTTCCCAACCATTGATTGACCCTGCGGTTTACTTCTGGCAGCGTCAATTTTCACCAGATTGTAGGCAAACAAGGTTCATGGCACAGGTTACTTTATCCCTCGGTGTTTTGGTGTCCTGGCTCAGTCGCTCGAGCTCTCGCTTCTCAGTCGGGAGATTATGGGTTTGAGCCCATGGATTTTGGCGCTTTGAACCCACAATCCATGTTGACCCTACAGTGAATGGTGGTGGGGGGGAAGGGGGGAGAGGGGGGAGTGCTGCATTGCTCGATGGGACATTAGATGGGACATTAACCCAAGATCCTGCCGCACTATTTGAAAAGAAAAGGGCAGTTTCTCCCGGTGTCCTGGCCAACAATCACCCAAATGAAACAGGTTACGCACTTCCTTCCTGGCTGTTTGTGGGACATAGCTGTGCGCAAACTGACTGCCACCTTCACCTACAAAATACACAGTCACTGCACTGTAGAAGTAGTTCCTGTGAAGAGCTTTCAGACATCCTCCTGACCTGAAAGGCGTTGTATCAAATGTAGGGATGATGATTATTATTATTATTAATTTCATACCCCAAAAATATCAGCACAATGGTCTGGTCGTATACTTTATAAGCGTACGACCTATTTATACAGCACCTTTCACATCAGGAAGAGATCTTCCCTTTGCTGCGTTGGGATGAACATTGAAGGAAATTATTGTGCCACCAATGACCATTTCAGCACGTACATAATGTGAAGCTTCATCTCTTATTTTGCAAGCGTATAAGCCAACGAAAGTTACAACACACTGCGGAAGGCTAGCACGTTTTTAATTTCCATCTCAATCTATCGATTTCTCCTCTTTTATCAACCAAAGTATTGACACGGAGAAGATTTGGAGCCAGCAACAGCGAGTTATGGCTGAGTTCACCTCTGTTATTAGCCCAGATATTAATCCCGCTGGAGAGTGGATGTGTGAGTGAGGGAGAGCAGGTGGGTCAAGTAAGGACAGGTTTGGATTTGGCTGTGGTGCTTCTCATTGTTAAATAGCCTGCTGCTCCTGTAAATAGCAGCTGTTATTGACTGTTTACCGACTCCTGCTTTAACACGCTGGTTCCTAGTTACTCTTTGAATATTCCCCGGTCTCTACACAAGCCCCAATTCACCACTGACTAACTCAAAGCTTCCACTCCCTCGCTGCCCCTGTCTGTGGTGTTCCCAGGCTCGCCAACACCTCAAGCCGTCAAATACAGTCGTGGACAAAAAAATATATAGATTATATATAAGCGAATGCAGCAGCCAATTTGCTGATGGCAATGTCCTTCCTTACAGCCATGAAATGAATGACCGATTTTATCGGTGGGGGTGGGGGGAGACTTGTTACGGTGCAAAACAAAACAGTCCGACTTACACTTACGTCACTCTCTTCACATCGGGAGGTTGTCCCACAGACCAAGTGGCCGGGACACGGGTGAGAAACACGCTTAGGAGAAGGGTGAAAAGTGAATCGAGGTGAGACTGAGTGTTGGTGTGGACACCCCACTTTGCCTGACAAAACCCCGCACAGCTTTTATACTGCCTGTTTGCCACCTGTGTGTCGAAAGTCTCAGATCAACATCAGTGCAAAGGTGTGGAATAAAGACAAAGTAAAGTCCCATCAAGGTCTGGGGAGGTGAAAGGAAAACCCTCTAACTGCCTTGACCGCCCCGCTCCTATTCTTCTCCCTACATGCCACAATCGATGACATCTGTCTACAGTGTATTTCCTTCCTGCACAGACGAGCTTAACGACAGCAAATAAAGTTTACAGCTACTTGAAAAGAGCCCGACCGGGTCACGAAAGGTTTAATTTGCACCTTCAGACTATGTTTTGCAAATAAATATTAGCACCGGCCGCTCTTTGGGAATCGTAACTCGGGGAAGGGAAGTTGCTGTGTAATCGTGGTTTGTCAGAGGCGGCGCAAGGAACCTAACCGACTGACATTTGTTCTTTACTATGTTTCCAACACAGAAGCCACACCAATGTAATGGCTTCATTCTGTGTTATGCGGGGCTGTGACTGGGCTCTTCCCAGCTGGACTCAGTTATTTTTCCTCCTCCCACCCCCCACCCCAAGACCTCAAAGGACATTTTGCCGTATTTGCTCAAGGTTTGCACACAATAAACTATCCCGGGGAACCAGAGAGAGAAAAAACAATGTTTGGACGCTGACACTGCCCGCGCTGCAAGGCAATTGCTGTCTCGCAGGTTCGTTAAACCCGCTGCCTGTTAGCGCCACTTAAACGGAATGCAAGATCAGAACAGACTTGTTTTATCTCTCATGCCTGATTCCAGGATCCTTTGCAATACTGCAATAATCTCTTCAAAAAATTGGCTGCAGCGTTTCGCCCGCAATATATTTGTACTCCACCCGAGCCCCCAACCCTCCTCATCCCCTCTCCTATCCCCCTCCCTCAATTCCCTTCTCTCTCACGAATGCATCACAGTTTCTTCTAAATGCATTGATCCTTTGTTGCTTCAACCACAGGTTCCGGCAATGAGTTCCCACCACACATCCTCACCATCCTCTGCATGAAGAAGTTCCTCCTGGACTCCCTCTCACATCTCCTATTGCCTAGGCTATATTCGCGTCCTCTAGGCTTGGACCGGAGTTAATACATCACCGTTTCCATCCCCTCCCTCTCCTTCTGGTTTCATACTTGTCTGGAGAATAGCTTTGACATCACTACTAAAAATTTATTGCAGCGCATCAAAGCTATGGGTAACAGCTGACGTTTGTGATTTGAAGGTTTAAATCAGATTTATTGAAGCTTAAGGTCAGCACTTGCAAGAGAAATCTTCTCTCTTGAATCCAGTGTTGGATGCTTTCACAAATAGGCAGTCTCTCTTGTTTTTTTAAAAAAAAACTGCGTTGGCCCCTTCTGGTAGCTGATGTGTTCTGCTCAAACTCTGGGGTGAGACATTGGGTCAGGAATCAGGGAGGAAGGGAGGGGAGGAGAAGGTTTCAAAAGCTACCCATCTTTTCTGTCGGTGATGATGATAATAATAATATTAATAATAATCCTTGCATTTGATATAGCTCCTTATCACGTCGTTGAGACGACTCAAAGCGTGTCACAGAATATCCTGCAGTGAATAATTGACAGCGTATTTCACGAGCGGAACTTTTTTTCTATATATAATTGATGATTATATATTAAAAAAAAACAGACTTAAAATTCTTTGGCCGGACTGGTGATCCAAAAAAAAAAAAAAAACTTTATTCGAAAGAGGATTTAAAGCGTTTTATTTTTTTCAAGAAAAAATTATCTCGCCCGGTGTGCGCGCGCGTGCGCGTGGAGGGGGCGAGAGGAAGGAAAAAAAAAAAAAGAAGTTTAATCTGAATTATTTTAACCTAATTGACTTCCTGTTGCTGTGTTGAAAGTTTTGGTTTGCAAGGTCTGACCCCCCCCCATCCACACGCACGCACGCACACACACACACACACACAAGTTTGTGAGGTTGCACAGTTTGGCATAGTTTTAACAGTGGCCCCTTGCTTTCCTTCAATGAGGAATCCAATACTCTGAGCTCATAAGCTCTACTTCAGTCTAAGGAGTTCAAAAGACTCTGATGTCTGTTAGGCCCCAGTACCCTCTCACTATGGCCCCAAATCACAGGAGACCCAGCCTCAGACTGTTCAGCTCTACTTCTGGCTAGCATTAAAACGAGAAAACAAACTGAGAGGTTCCAGGCAATGGAAAGCCTGGGCGGGAAAGGGAATTAAGTAAGATAAAAACGGGTGTCTTGAGTCTGCCTTTCCTTACTACCTGCGCCGGTTGTGGGTGCAATGACCAGTTTGTAGGTCAGTCAATCGCTCAGCATTTTTTGATTTCTGCGCGCGTGTGTGTTTTTAATATGACATGTCGAGGGCACTGCTACGTAAGAAATTAAATGAATCTTAGCTGCCGCTTTAGCAATTCTGCAGCATTATATCCAATCTGTAAATACACCGTAAGTGCTTGTG